TGTTCTACAGGTGTTTTTTAACCATGATTTATGACAAACTAATAATTTTAGAATATTTTAAATGTAAAAAAATAAAACCATCAAAATATTAATTATAGGCTATAACGTTCATAACCAGTTATCCAAATTATAGAATTAACTAATTATAAAAAATATAATAATTGCTTTATTTATACCTCAAACATTTAAGTATATTAATTTGTTGTGTTTAAAAGTAAAATATAATTATAATAATTTTCTAGAAAAAGTTGCTGTAACTCATATTGATATAGAACTTGCTGCTGATTTTGAAAATGAAAAACTTAAAGGATTTGTTGATTTGAGCATAACTAAAATTGATGAGAGCTGTGATTATATTGTATGGTACCTAAAGATAATTAATTTATGATACAAAAATAACTCACAAAATTATTTAAATTATAGATTTTGGACAATATTGATTTAAACATAATAAGTATTAAGAACAAAGATGATGGAACATTGCTTGACTATACTATAGGTGATCGCTTAGAAGTATTTGGTTCCAAACTTGAAATAAAAGTACCATCTATAAAAAAGTAAAAAATGATAGTTATTTTATATTAAAACTTTAAATAACATTTTTTTATTTGGTTTTTTAATTCTTAAACTTAAGGAGCATCATACAAATTACTTATGAAACGTCTAAAACTGCCTCAGCTTTACAGTGGCTTACACCTGAGCAAACTCTGGGCAAAGTCTATCCATATTTGTTTAGCCAATGTCAAGTATGTTATATTTTTCATATTAATATAATTTCATTTAAATTAAATGATATGTATTGTTTAGCCTGCTCATGCTCGATCTATGCTACCTTGTCAAGATACTCCATCAACAAAATCTACATACTCAGCAAAAGTTTGTTTATTGTCAAAAATGTTATAACTTTTCAAAATATTTATTTAATTATGAATAACTTACAGATAACAGCTCCTAAACCATTAACAGTATTGATGAGTGCGGTCCCATTAGAAGTAATTGACAATGGAGATACACGCACATTCTTATTTCAACAAACTGTTCCTATCCAGTCATATTTGATTGCCCTAGCTATTGGCAATCTAGTCAGTAAAACTTTAAGTCCTATATCAAAAGTTTGGTCTGAACCTGAAGAAATTGACAAAGCGGCATATGAATTTGAACAAGTATATTATAATATTAACATTTGAGTTTTTGATTATTGTATAATTTGTTGATATTTTTAGACACCTGAACTATTGAAAACCGCTGAAAATGTATGTGGTCCTTATGTTTGGAAAATTTATGATTTACTTGTTATGCCACCTTCATTTCCTTTTGGTGGTATGGAAAATCCATGTTTGACCTTTGTTACTCCAACACTACTGGTTAGTTAAGTAATATCAAAGATAACTATAACCATTTAATGTATTTATCATGTACTTATATAGGCTGGAGATAGGAGTCTTGTAAATGTTGTAGCTCATGAAATAGCACATAGTTGGACTGGCAATTTGGTGACAAATCGAAATTTTGAACATTTTTGGATGAATGAAGGATTTACAGTTTATGTTGAACGCAGAATACATGGACTATTGAATGGCGAGAGTTCTAGAGAATTTGCTGCACTAGGTGGTCTTGAAGATCTCAAACAATCTGTACATATTTACTAATACTTTTACTGCTACTTTTACTAAAAAATCATAATAACAATAAAAATAAGTATTATTGTAGGTTGATAATTTAGGTGCACAAAATCCATTAACTAAGTTAGTAGTTGATTTGAGTGGTATTGACCCAGACGATGCATTTTCTACTTGTCCTTATGAAAAAGGACACACATTTTTGTTCTATTTAGAAAATTTACTAGGAGTTGGTAAGACTGTTAAAGAATTAATTGCACGGGTTTCTCATTTCAAAAAAACATATTTTGCAGGTAAATTTCAGATATTTTTCAAATCATATATTGATAAATTCAAGTATAAGTCTGTTGGTACAGAAGATTTTAAATCATATTTACTTTATTATTTCCAAGAGGACAGTGCTATCTCAAAAATTGATTGGGATTTATGGTTGTATACTTGTGGTATGCCTCCAATAATACCTTCGTAAGTATCTATTTAGTCAAGTAATTTAGGAAAATATGTAAGTAAAAATTAAATATTTATATTATTTAATAATTTTAAAGGTATGATACAAGTTATCAAGATGCATGCCTCTCTTTGTTAAACCACTGGGAACAATGGGATGGTACTGGTGACAATTTTAAGAAGTCTGATTTGGATAAATTTCAAACAGCACAAACTATTCAATTTTTAGCATTGGTTTTAAAATCCAATAACTTTACTTTGTTTAAAGTAAAAACTATGCAAGAAGTTTATGATTTCAACAGTAATGGAAACTGTGAAATTTTACTTAGGTAAGAACTAAAGTAAAAATATTTATTACAATTACCGCTGATTTTATTTTAAATGAAATGTAGGCACCATAATACCCTTGTATTTTTTATTAGGTGGCTTAGAACATGTGTAAAATTTAAGTGGATGGAACAATTGGAACTCATATTTAAATTTATCAATACTACTGGAAGAATGAAATATGTTCGTCCTTTATATAGGTAACTATTTTCAAATTATGTTTTGATGTTATTAGTTTAAGAAAATGTATAATCATTTTTTTTTTATTTTAAACTTTTTGATCATTGTATTTTTATAGGGATCTTTACTCTTGGGAAGAAACCCGAACAAAAACAATAGACAACTTTGAGAATAATAAAATGCGTATGATGTATGTTTGCCGTCATACTGTGGCTAAAGATCTACATTTAAGAAATTGTTAAATAATATCAATAATATTTGTGTTCAATATTTATTTATTTTTATTGATGTATTGAATTTGGTATTATTATCATACTATTTTAATCAAAATGTGATAACTAACATATTTTATGCATAAAAAAACTAAAAAAATCTAATTTTTAAATATTTAATGGAATAATATATTTTTTAATTTTTGAAATATCATTAAAATAAGAGTTGCAATAGAATTTATTGTAAATATTGACATAATAATAATATAATTTTCACGAGAAAACATTTCCATAAGACACTAGGATTCTTGAAATAACCATAATAAATCATATGGTTCTCTCGAACACTTTATCTGAAGAACACACATGATGCGACTAATTAGATAAATAGTTTGATATAAGTAGAACAAATAGATTGCCATCAGTAAACAGTGACTAGATATGATATTGGTCTTGTTCAGTTTACAAGTATATCACTTCCATACCAGTATAATGATTAACGAACAATACTACTGTGAAAGTTGCAAAGGAAAATAAATTTTGAATTATTAATAATTATATATATTATGCCAAACTTAGAATCCCATTGTAATTAGTTGTAGCAATTGATTACTTATATATAATGAGTATCAGCATACTCATGTATTGTAAACTTTCATAAAATTATAAATTACTCTATGATATAACTTAATACTTGGATAAATAACTATTAAGTTATTTAACATATTGTTGTTGCATAATGTATAATGAATATAATAATTGAAAGATTACCAATCCAAATATTTTTATAATAATATAATAAGCTATAAAATAAGTACTTTAAATCTTACCACGTAAATAAAATTATAACTCATGAACTGAATAACTTATTTATTAGTATTAATCATAATAGTATAACAATAAAATATATTTTATCATAAATTAAATAACTAGTACTTGAGAGTTACTAGTAACTGGTTAAATATAAAAAAAATAACTGTTAAGCTAAATCCACGAAATTATGTTATCATTTAAATCGCTAATTTAATTAATAATTTCAAGGAATCTGCAGATCATCTTTGCTGATTTTTTGAACTTATATTTTATAGGCCAAATTTTTCTGTCAAATTCATGAATTCGAAACACATTAATATTTGACAAAGTGTCAATAATAAAATAATATAATAATTTTATAAACACTTTTAAAGATGCAATGTCTTCTGTTGTCACATAAATTTTAATTGATAATAACTAATAATAATCAGATTTTAATTCAAAAAAAAAAAAAAAAATCTGTATTTTGTAGAATACTATAACTTTGATGTAAACTACTTTTTTCTATTTGTTTATTGATTTAAATTAATTAATAATACATATTAACGTATCATTTGTATCATTGTATTTATTTCTATTTTATCGTGGCTATTATTTTTTCAAATTACATTTTATATTGCTTTTTTTGACATCAATTAAGTCATTTTAATTTATTGCCAATATTTTCCACCATAATTTTTTTGTAATTCTAATGGTTTAAAAAAAAAATAAGATTACAAAATAAAAAACAACATAAATAGTAGACAATATACAATAGGTTCTTACTAATATATACACTGAATACTATATAAACGTATAAATATAAGTACTTAAATATATACACCAAAATGAATAGATATCAGTGATTTCAAGAAATCCCAACCTTACTAAATTCATCATTTAAGTTTAAACTCAAATACTAATTTAAAACAAGCTATTAAGTCGATCTTCTTTAAAAGAATAAGATAATTTAATAATGTACCATCGTGCAGTGTTCAAACTTCAACACTAAACCCAACACTTAACTAAAAAATAATAATTTTTTTTTTTGTTTTAATAAAATTGATTAAAATAAATATTTAAGTTATAAAATTAATATATTTTTGTTAAGATTATAAATACAAAAAAAAAAGTGTAAAAATAAAATAAATCAATTTAACAGCATGCTATACTATATAAAATATTTTATTTTAATTATGAATTTGATTAAAAATATGTTCACAATTAACAATAAGAAAGTATGTATATACAAGAAGCTGAATTAATGTGAGTATAGTTTACTATTACCTTTTTTTCACACTGCTAGATAAAATAAGTTAAATAATTGTTGGATCAAGTATGAATATTGGGTTTATTAACAGTAAAATTATTGATTTAATTTTTGCTTGGAAAAAAAGGAATGGTATAAACAAAAATTGGTATGTTGACAGTAAATTCGTGTTAAATAGTATCTATATAATAACATAATAGCAAATAAAATGATCATTTATAAATTTAAAAATATTTTTCTTATCATGTTTACCATCAAATATTTTAATAAAAGCATTTTAAATAATTTTTATGAAGCCCAATTAGCTAATTCTTTCATTTCGTCATCATCTTCTTCAACTTTGGTTTTTGCTAAAAATTTAAAACAACTCATAAATAATATATTTTATAAATCTATAAATTTTTCCTTAAAAATACCTTTGCCCCGGCCACTGGGATCAAATGTTGGCACTGCAGGCGTTGGCAAATCGTTGACAGGTGTCTTGCCTGTATTCAACAACTCTTTGTCCAGTTCTTCTTGTTCTAGCTCTTCCAATTCTTTTTGTAATTCATCCTGTTAAAATTATAATATTATTAAAAATTTATTCATATAATTATTAACTAAATACTGGTCAGAATTAGCTATTTTAAGGAATAAATATTATACAATGTAATCAATATCATCTATATCATGCATTTACAATAATTTACCAGTACTATAACAGTTATAAATCTAGAAAGCAGATTTTTAGGTAAAGTTTTTAAGTATTCTCTTAATAGTCCATTAAAAATGAATTAAATATACATTATTATTTTTTTTTTGTATGAGCCACTATTATAAAATTATAAAATTAAAACATATTAAATAGCTAATATTTGAAAGTTCTAAGTATTGTTTTTGAGATGAACTAGATTTGAACATTAGGTAGTTAAAACAAGTAATTTTTTTACATTTTAATTCAATACAAATGAGTATAAACAATAGAAATGCATAAATACTTCCTGTTTATAAGTTATTAACCAATTACAAAATTTATAAATAATTAATGATTAATTTATTAAAATAAATTATTATTCTTACTTCATCTACATCGGTTCCAAATGCAACTGGATTTGAAATGGCTTCTGATATTTCTTTTGATAAATCTTGTGACTCTGCTATATCGTCCATCATATTGTGAACATCATCGACATTCCTATAATATAATAACTAATTGTAATAAACATTATTCAAATCATAATGAAGATATATTAGAAAACATTTTCAACATATTTCATAATTTTTAAATGCATAATTAGGAATTTTAATGACATAATATATCCCTACTAATCAATTTCATAAAACACAATATCCTATAATAATATAATTATGAAAACTAATTTGTAAGTGTAAACCTATATAAATTATGAATTAAGACTTTAAATACTTTATACATAAAAAAAATATAGATACTGTGCCTAATAATCAAAAACTCTATAGTCTCTATAACTCTTTATGTTTAACTTCTGTAGAAAACTAAATGATAGATTTTTTTTTTAACTTGAAAATATATACAATTAATATAAATATAGAATAGTTTATTAATTAACACTAATTAATTTATAAATACTGAAATCAATAACCTGAATTATTTTCCACTACTTCAAAAATTTGTAGAAAGTAACCTAAAATTGATCTAAAATTATAAAAATAGATTTTTAAATAAAAAATAATATCATATTTGATAAAAATATGTATAAAATATGGGTACCTGTCTTTTAATTCATTTTTATACTAAGTTAAGCAAGACATGTATTAGTTTTACAATAATATTTTACTTAAAAATAACATTGTGTAATTTTTTTTTTTTTTTTGATATTACAAAAAAAATGTTTAGTTGCCTAACCTATAAAATATTGTACATTAAGTTAAACCTTTTAAAAGGTAATATTTGATGAAATAAGTACAAATTACTTGAATGTTATTAAAAAAATTAAATTAACAAAGTTTAAATCAATTTTTAGTCAAAATTTTATGAATAAATGATTTAATTTAGGTTTTAAATTAAATGCCACAAATAGTAAAATAAAACTAGTTTCATGTCTAATTTTCTAACTTTTATATACATAAATATAATCAAATATATATATATGCATTATATACACTACACAGAATATCATGCTAGTTAAGTATACCTAAACAAATATAACCCATACATAAACTCAAATATTTAAAAATCAAAACGATACATAATTAATGGAAAATAATAATAGCAGGAAAATTTTCAATGAAGACAATTTTAAAATTAACTTAATGCCTTATACTTTTGAGTAATTATTATTTTAATTTTATTTTTAGGTATACCCAACGTGCCCATATGTTCTGCTTAAGGCGAGACAGTCCTGTTTTCAAACTTGGTGTCCAGCTGTTCCCAAAGAACCCAAAAATGTTCTACTTTGAAAAAAGGTGATCTGTGACATTTTATTCCACTAAATAAGAGCAAGTAACCACAACCAAAAACATTATGTTGGTAGGTATACAAATATTGTACACTGATATAAATTTTATAATGTAAGCAGTTAACTTCCATAAATAAAAATTATACAAAAATAAGTACCAAACTAAAGTAAAAAGTTATTATAGTTTTCTTATTAAAATTTACAAGTTTCTCGCTTTAAGTAAAAAACATTATGGTCACATTAATTATACATAATACTGATGTAATGAAAAATATGATTTGAGCAAAACATTAATAAATGAAAAAAAGTTAAAGAATTACAAGTAACCAACTAGGTGGTAACTAGTGACTCAGCCCATTATTAAAAATGAAAATATGACTCATTAAAAACCACAATTGTTATCAATAGTTTAAATTAATTAAAACTTAGAAGTAGGAGAATAGAATAATGAAAATTAAAGTTAACATTTAATACATTGATACTATTTATGATAGACAGCCTCATGTTAGGTTCTTAAAAAATGTTATTGAAATACTTTATTTTGATTCTTTAATAATTTATTTAAGTTACATAGATAAATGTGCAACTTTTTGCATTATTTAAGACACAAGCAACAAATTAAAAACTTAATATTGGTAACAAAGTTTCTATAACTCATAAGTGAAGAAAAGAATTTGATTAATAAATTATATCGCTAATTACTTCTACCTTTACCTATGTATTTAAAATAATCTAATAAAAATGTGGAATTAAAAAAAAAAACCACCTTAAATGTTTGTTTAAATAGTGATACAATTTAAATAAATGTATACACTATATAGTGTATATATCTATATTATATCATAAGTATTATCTAAATACTCAATATGAATAAATAAATTTCATAATTATAAACAATTTAATATCTAGGTTTAACTTATAGATATATAACAAATTAATAACAATTGAACTCACATATTTTGATGAGCCGACTTGAGTGCATCCGCAGCAGTTTTCATCGTGGTTAATACTGCTGTATTTGTGTTTGCACCTTCTAACGCCTCTCGTTGTTGTTCAATAGTTAACATAGTACCATCAATTTGAGCTAATTGTTGTTCATACCGTTTCTTACGCTTCAATGCTTGCAATGCAGCTGAAAACCAATAACAATAATGTGTAATACATTAAACAACTAAGAAATAAGGTGCTAAGTTATAACGTCAACTTACCTCGTTTATTTGTTGTACCATTTTTTTTTGCTATCGCTACTTCCTGTTCGATTTTTTTTTCTAAAAATTCTTGTTTTTTTATCAGCATTTCTTCAGTGGATCGTAGCTTTTGTATAGCATCTTCGGTTGATGGCCCTTTCTCTTCTTTTTTGCTACCGAAAAGCTTACCCAGGAAACTCATAATGTATACAATATTATATTATTTATATTAATTTTATTAACCCAGGTATTTATGCAATGAACATAATAATTCAAAGATACCGTACACAAATAAAAAATACTCAATAGTTAACACTTAATAGTCACAAAAACACTAACAATAAGTCGCACTAAATTTGCGTAGAAGGCAAAAGCGAAGAACTATAGAAATTTCGAAAGATAATGATAAAGGATTTTTATTATTGTCATTGGTGGTCATCTGTTAAAATCAGCCACAAATGATTGACGATGAAAACACCGTATTTGATAACTTATAACCAAAGACAATGTAATACATTTCAAAGAGTACATAAAAATGCGAAAGCAGTAGTATTTAACTGTTATTTTGATTATTTTTAACACAGAATAAAAAATATTAATGTTTATTATTATTACTCTTCTATTTCTTATCAAATACTTAAATAGTTTACAAGTTAAATCTGAAATAATGCGTTTTTTAAAAATGACACTTCCAAATTAGTACATTACCATCAGCAACTGTATAAAAAATTATCAGTTTGCTAGGTAGGTAGGTACGTAAACAGATATTTAATAGATTATATTTCTGAGCGGGGGCACGATTTAAGATATTCTCGGATTGTGGTGGGGTAAAGAACAGCAAACTAACCAGTAAGGCAGTAACGGATGACTCAAATTATCGAGTAGCTGTGAATTTAAAATTTAAATATTTTATTCTAGTGTTCAATGTCCACCACTCAGATATAATATTATTATTTATCATTGCGGTGGGCTCGAGTGATTCGCGTTTGGGTATAAATGACTGATGAGTTATAGAGAAATATAATACAAAAGAATAAATTTGGCGCCCAAAATTACAAAATTACTGTCTACACAAATATAAATTACAATTATAGTATTAGTACGCGCCAATATAATTCGAAAAAGATAGTATACATAAATTAGTAGGTAGTTAATTATTAGTCTAGTATAGACTCTAGATGAATTAATAGTTAATGTTGCATTTGATATTTTGATGTCTATTTCTGAAGACTTATATACTTTATTTTGTTTTTATTGATAAAAAAAATCCAAATTTTTTCATTTTTCATCTTAATAGATACTAGGACAAGGTATTTTATACATATATAATTTATAGATTAATTTAGGTATATTGTTATAATTTTATAAATATTTATTTAATATTTTGACAATTTATTTGACTTTTGAGAGTTAGTATGGGATTGCTAGTAGAGGTATTTTTAGTACATATAGCTTCGTTATGGCTATGATAACAAATATCAAATAATATATTATACACTTTTATATCAATACCTTATACATTTTTGTATACATGACCTATAGTACTTTATCGGCTTACTAGAAAAGTTTTACCCAGTGCACAACTAATTTTATTAATTTTATTATTTTATAAATTATGATGGTTTATCAATCACCCTAGTAATTTTTTAATTAACTTGAACACGTAGCTACCAATATAATTGTTAGTATAGTGTATTTTATATTTAGCAGTCGGTTTGTGTTTTATCTGATTTGCATCATAATAAGCGATAATGAGTTTCATGAATTTTCTGTTTGATAATCCAATAATTTATTCTACCATTTTTTTTCAAACATAGGTATAAAATTTTTTCATTCAAATATAATACCCAATTATTTGTTCTAATGATTAGCCTTAAATAACGTATGATACTACTTTAATGTCACATTAAAAAGTATTTTGCCTATCTATAAAATGTATTATGATTTTTCATAGCTCAATAAAATTCATATTTTCTTGTATTTATAATATCTTATGACAACTGTGTAAACACTGCAAACGTATAATAATTCAAAGCTAATATGCCTATATTCAATAAAAAATAATACTTAGAAACTTAAAATTAATAAGTACTGTCAATAACAGAAAACTTTTAAAATCCATAATATTACATAATATGAATTATGATTACAAAATATTGTGTACATACTTTTTATGAGTAAATTATAATTTAGAGTTATGCAACAAACAATTTTAAAAACTAAGTTCCTGATTACAATATTTTGACTTGTAAAATAAAATAAATATTTACACAACTCAAAATGTTCTTTAAAATTATGATTAGTCATATTGTGATGATTTGTCTAATCTATCATTCCTAAAAACAGTAATAACTGTAATGGTAATAACTTACCATTTATAAATAACCTTATCTAGTTTAGAATTTAAAATTTTGAATACTAATTAAATGATTAAATTTTTGTATGAACTAATCGTACTTTATACGAGTTGTCAGTTTTCAAACTTTAAAAAACAGGACAAAATTTGAAATTTCATAATATATACTAAATATTAAATGTCAAAACAAAGAAGTCGGTACCTCGATTAAAGTATAGGGAATTAGGCCGTACGGCTATGTGTATGAGTAAGTCTTTATTTAGCAAGAATACAGATAATTTTAATAATATTTTTTATTATAAAATAAGTTATATTAATTATATTATTTATACTTAAGAAATATAATACATTTAAATCCAAAATTTATATAAAAACTAACTTTTAAATTGTTTACAGTAATAGTCAATAGGAAATAAGTAAAAGTTTTAAAATAAGTATCACAATAAATTATATAATTGTATAAGTATACTTAATTGTATACTTAGTTTAATTTTACTTGGTACATTTAATTGATAGTTCATAAATAAATTAGAATAGTTATTCAATAAATAAATTAAATTTTTCAACACATACAAAAATAAGCAAGTAAATAATTTATCAAATTTACTAGTAATGCACAATTTAGTGTAGTTATACCGTATACGTTTTAAACAAACTAATAGAACGATATTTTTATATATAAATAATTGGTTGCTGTTGTTGATGTTGATAATGTACTATATCGTCGTTTATTGTAATCAATGGTGAATCTGTGGGGGTGGAGTCTTTGGGCTAAAGCCCCCTCCCCTACACAAAAAAAAAAAAAAAAATAAAATAAAAATTTTTTTAACGTTAAATTATACATTATTATAACATATTGTCATAAATATAATATTAATGATGAATGATGATGTTTTTTTTCCAAATTTTATTATTATGTTAGATATATTTTCATAGTTCAATAGAACGTAATGAGGTTTGTGGTAATCGCTCAATACTTATTTTGTTGAAAATTATTTTTATATTTAAAGGTACTAGCAATTACGTTGGATCAGCAGTCGTTGACTTTGATTGATAACTACAATAACAATAATAACTATGACTGTTGACTGTCTATGGCGTATAAAAACCACGTTTGAACAATGGCCAATTCAATCCGTTCGATTTTGCCATTGTGATTATTGTGTTAAGTACGTATGTATTCTGTATAAAAACAGCTGAGTCAAAAACGCAAACTAACTGGTAGTGGTAGTACTCTACTTAACTACCTATATCAGTAGTGAATCAAAAATTCTAAAAATCAATGATCCCCCATCTTCAAAAACTTTTTGCTTCGCCGCCAACATCTGATATTGTTGGTAATTATGAAATTTTTTCTTCTTATGACATATCATTATTTATCAATAAAAAACTCAATGATAAAGAAAAAAATTCAAGTTTTTTTAAATGAATGGGTTCCAAATCAATAAATTGGCAATCAAAATAAAAAGTTTTATGTATTTTGGTTAACTAAATACAAATAGCTAACATATTCAAGCATTAAAGATTATAGTGCTTTTCGTAAAGTTTGTATATTATTTTAATCTTTTGAAGCTGGTTATAGTTCCAACTTCCAACTAATCACTTCATATATTCGTTAAAAAGGAGTACAATAATTAGAAAAAGGCTTAGAAAAATTAAAAAAAACACAGAAATTCAAAATATCAAAAGGAAGCTAATTAAATAGCTAACCATTTTAAGAATATCATGTTTGGAAAAATGTTATCGATTGATAAAAAAAATTGATTAAGTTCATCACTAACGATCTTTAGAAAATTAAGAAAAACTTAAAATTATAATAAAAACAATTATCTTGTGTGGACGACAATATCTACTTAGGGCACATCGAGATTACATAACGTTTAACGTAGAACAAAAATCAGACTGCAACGATAGTAATTTTTGATTTTGCTTAAGGCACGAATTGATTCAGAGGACACAAATTTAACTTTCAAAACGTAACGAGACAGTAATTTTTAAATAGAATAAAAAATCTTTAAATAAATCGAGAAATACAAATTAAAAAATCCGAAATATATATTAACAGTTCTTTCCGAAAAGGGATCCAAGAAACTTAAATGTTTAATATATTTTTTATATTTAGTTATTAATATGGTTATAAACGAATAGACCTCTTTTAATAATGATAGATTTCTGAATAAAAAGTCTAGGGGCTATGTACATGTTTGGGTGAATTTTTTTTAAATATTGACATTAATTTATTTGTTTTTGTTTCCAATTTCAACTTTTTTCTGTCTAAAAAATTATTTATAAATAGAGAAAATTATTTCAACTTTTGCATTTAAACCAGGTACGTACATAAAAAATTAAATTATTTAAAAATTTTAAAAATTACCATCATCAACATTCTTTATAGATTTAAAAATAAACGCCTATATTTCTAATAAATTATTTTATCAAGAGTAATTACTATCCGAAAACAAAAATGGAATATTTTGATGTCCCGAAGATTTTTTGAGACAACAGGACAATTAGTTTAAAAAAAAGAGACATTTACATTAAATACTTTCTATGTATTTTTTACGAAACTAATGAAATAATGATAATATAACCTAGTAAACTTTTTTTGGTAATTGTTATAATAACTAATAATATATTACAAAATATTTTGATATAAGATGATAACATTTTTTTTTTTTTAATAGAGCCTTGACATTTCGATCATTCCGTTTATCGGTTGAAATATTTTTATCACCCCAATTACCTCAATCAATTGTTTTAATTTGGCACACTGGGTCACATTGATGATTTTCGCAAAAATTCAATATATTGGCACATACAGCTATTGACTAAGTATACGCATCTAACTGTCGGTAGGTGTAATTACTGAATATAATAATAATAATATTATTATTATTATTATTATTATGTGTGATTGCTCATCTCTCAGCTAGTGGTGACGGCGGCGTAGTCTGACGACACCGGAGGACAATATAAAAATAAAATATAGAATATTGTACGGGCAGATAAATTGATATCAACGGATTTTATTGAGT